CCCGGTCCGGTACGGGGGCGACACTGAGGGTTGCGATCCGTTGCCGGACATGGAAAAAGACAAAAAAAAAAAAAGAAAAGAAAAGAAAAAACAAACAAAAAACAACAACACATACACACAAACACAAAACCAACCAACCAAAAAAAAAAAAAAACTGGTCGGACCCTTTATTTTAAAAATTCTTACTTAGAACCAATTGGTCCAACAGTGAGGAGGGGTATTCCTCTATTTCAAGACAGGATGGTAGATTCCAGAGTCCAGTCCTTTGGCTTCCCGCTCACCCACACAGTGACCCAAAATAGAAGCCCATAGATGGTCTTCAAAGCTGAGTAAAGCTCTGCAGATTCCCAGTTTGAAAATGTCTGTCCTAGAAAAAGTGTATTATACTCGTGTGTGTGTGATGTCACGTGCACGGTCCTCGTTCATAAGAAGTGAGATTGTTACACCCTTGCATAAGTTGTTGACTCTTTGTTCTTTGAAGTGGAGAAAGACAGGTCATCAAATGTCACATCCCGACCCAAATGTGTTGACTCCAAAATGCTGGGGATGGTTTTATGGTAAAGTCCAGGAGGCGGCTGACTGAGGCACGGGGCTCTGATAGTACAAGCGGAGGAAAGACACCTGCCTGCTCAGCTACAGAGGACAGCAGCATGTGCTATGTTCAGAGGGGGTTGAAAACAGATTGCCTGTAATGCTGACATTACTAGGAATATGGGATTTTCTGTCTAGATCTAGGAAGCTCTTACATGGGCAGTCGCATTGTGAAGATTTAGGAGCCCTAAATCCCCAGTTATGACTAGATGAGTTAGAAGGTAGATAAGAGTTTGTACATGAAAGGATTTGGAAGGGAAGAAAGGTTTTATTGTATTAAGGTCAACACAGTCTGACTAATCCCCACCCAGCTCTGCCCTTGCATGCTCTGCTTTCATGTTCAGCCACACAGAGTACAGCAAGTCACGTCTTGCAACAGGCACTGCACGCTCATGTGGGGAAAGGCCGACTCACCTGCCATGCTGCTGATATTCACCAACCTCCCCTTGGCTCTCCTAAGAAGAGGCAGAAAGGTCTTCGTAACTTCCACAGCTCCAAAGAAATTCACGGCCATGCATTGCCTGTAGATGGTCATGGGAACGAGCTCTCCATCGCCTGGGAAGCCAATGATCCCGGCATTGTTGACCACAGCCCACAGTCCTGAGGACAGAAAGGAACAGCTCTGAGGATGGCCAGACCGGGGAGTGAGAGGATTTTTAGTGCTTTAAGCTCCGGAGTCAGGCACACCCCTGTGAGATCTAGGATCTAGGCATATCCTTTCGAACAAACTTTTGAACCTCAGTTGCCCTGAATACCTAAGACTACCTTCTTTCGGGAGTTATAAGTGTGTGAAATATTAAGCATGATCTTTGGGAGGTTTTTTCTTTTGCCTCAAAGCCTTTTCCTACATGCAGGCAGCTGGATATTTGTGTTATCTGAGAATGGCTGACATAGCAAGTGGAAAGTAATGAGTCTTTGCCTGGCTTTGAAGTTCAAGAGTACTTCCTGTTTCTCCCTGCAAGGCATGCATAGAGACAGTATAGTATTTTATAGCAATGCAGGATGATATAAACTGTCCCTAAACTAGAAAAGATTCCCTAGTCCAAAAAGACAGGAAAACTAGAGGAGAATCGGCAAGACCTGGGGTGACTGCAGGGTCCCTGATAGTCTCTGAGCTCTGTTCCCTGCCTCAACCAGCCTGAACCCCTTGACATGCATCAGAATCACCGAGAGGGCTTGTTCAAACACAGACTGCTGGCCCCACCTCCAGAGATTCTGAGTTGGGGTGTCTGGGGTGGGGCCTGAGGATCTGTGTTTCTAGCAAGTTCTCGGGTGATGCTGATCCTGCAGTTACAATTGCCCACAAGTAGCTGTTTTCAACCTTAACTGCCCATTAGGCTTACCTGGGGAGCTCTGAAAAACCCCAATGTCCAGGCCACATTCCAGCCTGTTAGGTCAAAAGCTCTGGGGTGGGGAGAGAAGGGATCCAGACACTTGTAGTTTTTTAAAAATTCCCCAGTTGATTCCAATGTAAAACCAAGCTTGGGGACCACTGCCCTATATAGTAGGAAAGAGGTGATACATAAACTCCAGATGCTTGGGGTGGAGGGGTCTGGTACTGAGGTGAGTGATCTTGGTCCTTTTTACCCGGGAGAAACAGAGGTGACAGGATCTGGGGTGTTCTTAGTTACACAGACCCGGAACATATTCTCTGAGGTTCTGGAGCCCCAGTGTGGTGTGGGACAGTAGTTCTCGAGGTGTGGTCCCCAACCACAGCATCAGCATCACCTGACATCTTGTTAGCGATGCAAATCCTTGAACATCATCTCAGACCTGCTGGATCAGACAGTGTTGATCAGAAAGTGCTGTTGAGCTCAGCATCTGTGACAGAACGTGCCTCCTGTGGTCCCAGTGCACACTGAAGGGTAAGAACCCACAGTATGGGAGCCGAATGAGTCTCAGTGCTAGAAAGGATGGCACAAGCCTGACAGTGCCTGGCTGATGGCAACAAGGAGGTGGCCGCAGCCAACCTGCATGAGGACTGGACAGAACACAGGACATCGCAGCTGCAGCCAGCATGAAGCATGGACCATCAAAGACCAAATGCCCCATCCCCAGGAATTTAAATGCTACCCCAATGCTACCCTGGGGTAATGAGGTGAGGCTCAAAGTGACTGAAATAGTTTTTGCCACATGGCAGAAAGATGGCTCAAAACAGAAATTGAGTTGAGTTACAGAAAGTGAAATTACATTTCTTGCACACCCGAGTTTGCAGTGTGACATTTACACATGTTAACGATTGTGAACATTACATGAGATGATGCCTGGCACTCAGAGCTGAATAGCTATTAGCATGCTGATGAGGGGAGAGGACAGGACGTCTCTTTCACAGCAGGTGATGGTCTTAATCCATCAGCCTGATGCACACCTTTGACCAGTCAACATGCAGCTGGAGAATGTCCCAGAACAGGGGTTGGCAAATGTTTTCTGTAAAAGGCCAGATAGTAAAGATTTCAGCTTTGCAGGCCCTAGTGCCATCACAGGACAAGAGCAGCCACAGTCTATATGTTTATGAATGGGAGTAGCTGTGCTCCAATAAAACTATTTACAGACATTGACATTTGAATTCCATATAATTTCAATGTGTCAAAAAATATCCTTCTTTTTCTGATTTCTTTTAACCATTGAAAAATGTAAAAAACACTCTTAGCTCACAGGTAGTGGGTCTAGATAACAGTCTTTAAATAACAAGGTTAAAGAAATAGAGAACAGATTAGCGATCGCCAGGGGTTGGGGACGGCAGTATGGCTCTGAAAAGGTAGCGTGAGAAAGTCTGGTGGTGATGGAACAGTTCTGTGTCATGATTGTGGGGACTGTTACACAAAGCTATACGTGTTAAAAATTGCAGAGCTGCATTCGTGGACACACACACACACACACACACACACACACATGAATGAGTGCATGTACAACAGGTGAGTCTAAGTCATCTCTGTGGGTAGTACCAATGTCAATTTCTTGGTTTTGATGTTGTCCTATAGTTAGGCAAGATGTTAACATTGGGGGAGGCTGGTACATAGGATCTCTGTACATTTCTTTGCAACTTCCTATAAATCTACAATTACTTCAAAACAAAATGTTTTAAAAACACAGGTGGGGCTGTAGTTTGCAATTAGTAGTGGAATTCTAAGCTGGCCAGTAGGACTTAATAATGGTTTAATACTGGCAACTTCCTATAAATCTACAATTACTTCAAAACAAAATGTTTTAAAAACACAGGTGGGGCTATAGTTTGCAATTAGTAGTGGAATTCTAAGCTGGCCAGTAGGACTTAATAATGGTTTAATACTAATGAAATTAGTTCATAATTAGCAATATGTTAATACTCATTGAATAATATGCTGTGTAGGAACACAGCACAGTTGCTGGCCCTTTTATAGGAGCTGAGGTTTTCCAGTTTATCTACAGACCCCAGATGGTTCTTTGGCAAACATCCTTCTTGTTGGTCTTAAACTCCAGTTACTCTTTGACTTGGGAGGCTGAAGTTCAGGGAAACCCCAAGGAGAGCCGGCAGGAGTACCAGCCATCCCATCTCAGAGGAAGGCTGCCTTCCAGGATGCTGGCTACAAAACAACAGGGACGCACAGCTTAGAAACTGTACTTACCACAACCCTATGCCTGGACAGCACTGTGGGATTTCCCTACCTAGAACCCACTGCGTTATCCTTTAACATGGTCAGCACTGCCCTCGTGGGCCTCACTAATGGGGTCTGCATTGAATAAGACAACATGAAGTCAGACTTATAAGAGGGACGAGCTCAACCCTATCAGATGGCAAAAGACCAGGCCAGGAAAACTGCCTTTCTAGAAAAATGACTGCAAATTACTAAACTTGCTGAAAAGTAATTTCTAATAGCCAACAACCTATTTTTTTTCTCTTCTCTTCTCATTTATCAGATGTTTACTGAGTATTTATTATGTGCCAGGGATGGTACTGAATGTTGAATGAATGGAAAATAGGAGGCTTTATTGAGTGCTTACCTCACACTAGGGACTCTTCTAAGTACTCTCTACATAATAACTAATCTTCCAACTACCAAGTGAGGCAGGTGTCATTACTCTCCTAGTGCTGGGATATCAGCTGTAAAGAGGATGTGAGCTGGAAGTGTCTGAGGCCTCCATGGAAATCCCCCAAATGAAGCCAACACAGGAGAAAGCAGAGCTAAGAAATAGAGATGGAGTCCTAATGACATTGCTTAAGTGCCTGGATCCAGCCATGTCTGAAGCCAACAGGTCTTTTCAGTTATATAAGCAAATACGTTCTCTTTTGCTTTAGCAATTTTGAATTGGGTTATGTCACTTGCATCTGAAAGAATCCTGATAGATACATGGTTCTTGTTCTCAGAGAAGCTAGAGGTAAGGAGTGGGAGATGCACAGATATTTACAATAGTGCAGTAATACAGATACATGCAAGGCATAACGAGTGCTTGTCCAGAAGAGGAGGGGAATAATGCAGCCTGGGTTACCAGGAAGGTCATGCAAGAAATGTCATGTGTGAGCTGCATCTCCCATGGGAGTAGAGTGCAGCTGGACAAAGGCAAGGGTCCCAAAAGGGACTGAAAGGGAGAGGAAGATTCCAGAGAGAGGAAGCTGGATATGCAGAGGTGCAAAGTAGCACTTTCTGTTCTGGCTGCTGGGAGGAACCCAACACATAGAGGCTCTGCCTGTCAAAGGGGTTTTAGGAGATGGGTCACCTTGTGAGATGGGCATGTTGTGAAGGTTACTCTCTATTCAGAAAGTAATGGGGAACAACAGTCGGGTGCAGAGAGGCATCTGCGGTGACCCAGGCGGGAGGTGATGCAGGCCTGCACTGAGCCACAGCTGCCAGGAGATGGTGAGAAGGGGCTGGACGATAATATGTAGGAGCTGGAATCGACAGGACTTGGGGCCAATAGGACGCAGGGACCAGGGCTGGGGGTTTCAAACACAGTGCTAGCATCTGAGCCATGGAATGCGCACGAGCAAACTGATTTGCAGACCAGCAGCAGCAGGGGAAAAAGACAATGAGGGCAGGTTTTGACAGGTTGAGGTTGAAGCCTCGGGGATATAAGTGGAAACGTCTGGGAGACAATTTTAAATATGTAGGTCCAGACATCAAGAAGAAGGATTAGGTTGGTAATGGAGATGTAGAAGTTATTGACATCAATTGGTGTTTCTCAACCCTGACCTAACATTACTACCACCTGAGAAGTCTGAAAACTACTGATGCCTGAGATCCCCTTCTAGGGATACAGATTTAATTGGATCTTTGGGTAAGGGCACCCGGGCAAGATTTAGGATCTGTGCAGTCACACAGGGCCTGCCACTTCCGAAAGGCCCCTTGCTTGGTTTAATTCTCTGATGTCAACACCTTAAATTCCTAATCATTTTTCAAATGAGGAGTCCCAAATTCCATTTTGCATTGGGTCCACCAAGTTACACGGCCCATCTTGGGCCCGAGCATGGGTAGTTTTAAACACTCCCCAGGTGACTCTAACATGCAGCAAGATTGAGAACCCCAGGTACAGGAAGAGAGCAGTATGGCCCAGGAACGTGGAGTGGGAAGTTCGGGGAGGAAGCCCTCAGAAGCATTCACATTTGTGGGGAAGACAGAGGAAGAGGCTCATCCAGGAGAAGCAGGAAGAATGATCAGAGAGCTAGGAGGGCAACAGGGGGCTGTGGACCCCAAAGCCAAGGAGAAGAGCATGATCAGCATGTTTAAATACTGCAGAGAGGTTCAGAACTTGGTCTTCAGGATGATACCAATTAGCTTTCCAGACCAGTTAGGGAGGCATGGTGAGAGCCAACGTCGAATTGGAGGTGAAGTGAAAACAGAGGGCAACAGGGTTCCGAAGGGCTTGGCCTCTGCTGTGGATTGATGTCCCCCCCGCAAAACTTAGTCCCCACTATGATGGTGTAAAGATGGTGGGAAATCCTACGATAGTAATTGAGAGGTGGGGCCTTGAAGAGGTGATTGGACTATGAGGACTGTGCCTAGTAAATGAATTGATCCATTCTCTGAGTAATAAATTGATGGATTAACAGTGGTCATGGGCGTGGTTCTGAGGGCTTTAAAAGGAGAACGCTCAAGGAGCTCTCTCTCTGCTCCACCATCTCACAATGTGACACCCTGTGTCACTGAAGCCACCACCAAGGAAGGCCTTCACTAGATGTGTTCCCTGGACTTTGTACTTTCCAGCCTACAAAACTGTAAGCAATAAATTTTGTTTTCTTACAAATTACCTGGTTCTAGGTATTTTGTTATAAGCAACAGAGACTGACTAATACAGTCACAAAGGAGGGACAAGAGAAAGGGCAGTGGTTAAGGGAGGACAGTGACCACAATGTCATTTTTCCCCAAGCTGGGGAAATCTAACACATGTTAGTATTGTGGGGAGGAAAGTAATAAGGAGGGGATGGGGGAGAAGATGTTAGAAGGAACAGGACAGGGAATCCTGTAAGTTCTGTCAGGACGGGACGCGCGTCTGAGTCATTCCTAACATCCTCATGTCTGTAGGGGCCCCAGCATGTGGTAGGGGGTCAAGAACAGTGTCCTCAGGTGCAGTCAGTCGTCAGAGGGGAGTAGGTCACCATGGTCACCCAGGGCTTGAACGAGAGCTGGCTGTCGGTGAGGAGGGTGACGGCCACAGAGGGTGCTGGTGGCTGAAGGTGGTACCTCTGTCCTGCACCTTGTCTACAACTTTGCTGTAAGCAGCTTTAATCTGCTCCGGGTTGGTGATGTCCAGCTGGAGCACCGACAGGCGCTCGGAGCAGGTTCTTCGCAACTCCTCCGCTCCTGAGCCCTTTTCATTCAAAACTCCGGCGAATACTGTGAAGCCCAGTGTGTCCAGATACTTGGACAAAGCGTGGCCAATCCCGGAATCACTACCTGCAAAGGGTTAATGCAATACGGAGTGAGCTCAAACCAGAACAACAGGAGAAATTATATAATAAGGAAAGCATTGTCTCTCATTTATGGTTGTCACATTCTGTGAGGAGAGGGGGTCCTGAGGAAGTATCTTTGCTAGGGGAAATGGATGGAGAAGCCGAGACCGGCACATTTCTCCAGATAAAGAAAGAGAAGAGGGTAGAATTGGGAGGGTGAGGCTGGAGGCACAGGTAGGAGGAAAAAGGCCCTGGGGTGGGGTGGGGTGGGAGGGGCTGGTGGCCAAAGAACTTGGGAGGGAAAACCAAGACATTTAATGACAGTTTTTATTAATCTGTATTGTGTAGTATTGGATGTGACCTCTACTCCATAAAACCTACATTCAAACATTCATTACATAGTAATGCTTTGGATTTGTTTTTGCTTTTTGGAGACACAGGACAGGGGCTGCCCACAGCAGCCAGTTCCTTCTGGATTATAAAAGAGGAAGGGTTTCTAGCCACCTGCACGTCTCACCTCCCCTGCTCTGTTTCTCCACCCACGCCCCACCCCAAGCCATTGACTAGACGTCAACCCTAGAAATTGTGATAACAGAAATCAGATAGAAAGCCCTCAGCACCCTGCTTCTGGAAAGCAGAGGACGATATAATATGTAAAATACACGTTATGTGTCAGACCTCTCAGAATTTGAGATGGGATTTTGCCCAACCCAGTTGGGAAGATACTGTGGACCCTGGAAGAAACGTTTTATGCCCACAAGTACAAAACGTAGCTATCTGAAGTTTAGAAGTTGAAGACAGCACAGACGTAAAACTGCCCTTTGAGCCACACCATAGTAACTTTATAACGGTTAACACGTCTCTCCGGTTTTCACAATGAGAAGTCATTTCACATTGGCTGTGTCATGTGACCTTTCCTGTACTCATTGAGGGCTCTTTCTTGTCAGTAGTCAGGGGCTATAGTCAGGTTTCCCCCCAAAAGACAGGAAAATAGGAGAATCAGAGTGCACACTGAGAATCAACTCAAAGATCAGTGTGAAAAGATGTCTGACCTCCAAGTTAACGATAACACCTGGAATCTGACCACAGGGCTACTGTCCTCAAAGAGAGGATGGGCATTTACATACCCTGTTAGTAAATGTGTGGACGACTAAACTCTACCACCACTTTAAATGTGCATATCTTTTGACCCAAAAAGTCTCAGTCTCTATCCTAGAGAAACACATCTACTGAGACGCATACATGATGTTCTTTACAGCACTGTACATAAAAGTGAAAGAAGAGGTTAACTGAAATGTCCCTGAATAGGAGGACTGTTACACAAATTATGGTACATATAACGAAAAGTGACACAGCAATTTTAAAAGATGGAATAGAACTATATACATGGACAGAGATATTGCTCTGGGATAATTTGTTAAGCAAAATAAAGCGAGTTGCAGATACCACTTATTAATAGAATCAAATTTAATGCTAATTCTATACCTCCCTGTGTATGGAAATGTAAAAAAGGGATCTGGAAGGAGAGACACCAACATGGTAACAGTGGCTTCCCCCAGGAGGAGAGACAGAATGGAGGGGGCTTTGTCTCATGTTTTCTATTCTTGCAACAAGAAAGTACTTATTTTGGGCCCGCCCGGTGGCGCACTCGGTAGAGGGCGGCGCTCCCGCCGAGGGTTCGGATCCCATATAGAGAGACCGGTTCGCTCACTGGTTGAGCGCGGTGCGGGCGCGACACCGAGGGTTGCGATCCCGTTACTGATCACGAAAAAAGACAAAAAAAGGACAAAAAAAAAAAAAAAAGTACTTATTTTTCTTGTGTAATTTCTTTTAAAGGCCATGCTGATTAGAATGCAGATTGGCCATCTCTGTATGTGCAGAAAAGGGTATGAGAGAAAGGCCAGCACAGCTGGCATCTGCAAACACTGCCCAAGAAAGAGCTACAGTGTTATGGGCACTCCTGTCCTTCTGACGCCCGTATTATGAGATGACCGTATCTGGCTTCCGTAATTGATTTCATTTGACCTTTGCTCCCTCTCCTCCTTTTTCATGCATTGGTGCCCAGGAACTAGCACCCTGTGTGTACGAGGTTTCCGACCCAGGCCCGGCCAGAAGAGGAGACAGTACTGACAGAGGCAGACACACGTGTCTGGGCCATGTGACAGACACCGTCCATGTTGCAAATTAATACATTGGGATTCTGGTTCTGGTATGTAATAATAAATGTGTATAATGGTTTTGTGAGCCCAGTAAAGGGGGATTTGCCTGGAAAAAATTGACCAGCTGCTCGACAAATCCAACTCCCGGGTCTACAGTGCTGAGGCCAGATACTAGACGGTGGCAAGTTCACCAGACAGTGGACACGGTGCTGTGCAGACTTTCCCTAGAAACTCCTAAATGTAGCTGGTGGATAAGTCTGTCTTATTGTAAAATTATACCCCAAATTTCTGCAGTAGAGATCATCATTCCCATTTTACAGATGAGGTAAGTGAAAACGAGAGAAGCCAAGGAGGATAAGGGGAAGCCAGCCCCAGAATGATCCTGTGAGGTCCACAAGGAAAGATATGAATCAACCTGAAAATATCTAACTTAGAACAAAGTTGCAGTGAAAAGTGTCCCTGGCACCTGATTATGCACACTGTGCTGGGTGAGGCCAGGAGTTTCATGGAGGGCCTCTCCCATTCCGTGACACACCAGACTTTGTGAGTCTGTTTTACTATTGTCTTAATAAGCTGGACGTATTGGGGCCATAGAGTTCAAAGTTCCCAGTTCACGTTTCCTTTATGCAGAGAGAACCTTTTGCAGTGCAGAGGTGAAGGCCATGGCCCTGGCACATACACACTCAGCTAGGGCACCTGCTGCTCCCTGGAGAGCCATGGCAGGTGACAAAGGGTCATTCACCCAGGTGGATCTGCTGACCGCGAAAGCACACAAACGGTCACCTGCACCCAAACTTGGAGTCCAACATCTGTTGCCCAAGTCCAGGTGAGGAACCTGGATTCTGCACTTTCCAGTCCTTCTTCTGGCCTTGCATCCCACAAACATTCTGGTGTGTTCAGTGCTGTTGGATGCATATCCCCACCCATGATGCTAAGAGCTGCCCCTTCCCCACAGGAAGCCTTAAGGTAACAATTGTCCTGCATGACCCGACCCCTTGATGTGGCTGATTGAACCAGGGTCAACCAGCTTTTCCCTCCCAGAAATGTGAAACTGTGGCTGCAAGACGCCAGGCAATCTTCATTACTGTTTCTCCCAGGACATTAAACTCAAGAGCTAGCTAGGGAACAATTGGCCGTCTTTCATCCTTTGCATGGAGATCTAGGCTAAACCCTAGAAGAGTAATAAAGCAAAGCCACAAAGAGCAGAGCCTCAAACCAGATGGCATCCATGGCAGTGGAGACCAGTCGTCCTGGCTCATGATGGCATCCCAGTTTCTGGTGAACCTCAAGTGCTCTCCTCCTCACACATGCCTAAGACACCCAACAGCCCCATAATAACCCCCTTCTTTCTCAAATTAGTTTGAGTGTCTTGCCTAAAATCCACCTTTTTCACTCATTATAAACACTTAAACTAGTAACTGCTGCTTTTCTGGCAGTTCCCCAAAAGGTTAAAAAATGGTGTCACCAGATGACCTAGCAATCTCTCTCCTAGGTATGTACCCAAGAGGAATGAAAGCACATGTCCACACAAAAACCTGTACACAAATGTTCCTAGCAGCATTACTCATAACAACCAAAAAAGTAATAAGAAAACTAATCAAATGTCCATCTGCTGGCGAGTGGATGGACAACATGGTCTATCCACACAATGGGACAGTATTGAGCAATAGAAAGGAATGAAGTTTCAATACATGCTGTGACCTAGAGAAACCTTGAAAACACTGTACTGAGTGAAAGATGCCAGCGTGGCAGATAAAGGGATGAGAGCAAGGAGAAGATCCTTTGATCTTGACCCCATTTTCCCCAAGTAGAGAATAATGTCGCAGCCATTTTTGAAGGTAGTGTCTTTGGCCAGCTTTGCGAATCCAGGATCTGACTCTCTAGGAAGAGCCTGGCACCTAGGAGGTGATAGATATAAACCAAGTCACGGAAATGTTGAACTTTACCCAAGCCTTGTGATCCTGGAAAACAGCAAAGATTAAAAAATCCTCCCACCCTTTGTGTTCTGGGAAATGGCTCACTGCAAGGTACCTGCCTTCCCCATATGACTTCCATGAGACTCAAGACGCTCCTGTGATCACCTAAGACAAGGCCAGACTCAGAGTCTCCAAGTGCTCCTTCTTTACCTCGTAAATGATTAGCTGACCTGCTTGTCCCTACTGATAGATCAGAACAAAGTGTCTGTTAACTTAACTTTGGTATAGATTCTCTCCTTGCCCCAGGCCCTGGCCCACCCTCAGCCAGCAAACAACCCCACTGTGCAGCCACTCCTGATCAGCCCTCACCTGCTGTCTCATCATGACACTACTGAGAACTCACCCCCAACGCCCAGTTCTCTCCTGCCTTGTTTCCTCCTCCCTGTGAAAGCAAAATGCTTTTTGCCTAATCCTTGAGATACTTGCAGACTGCATGGTTAGAGCATTCCACGACTGCAATAGTCCCTTCCCCAAACTCCACCCACCCCTGCAATAATCCTTTTGAATAAAGTCTCTCCTAACTAAATCCAGGTTTGTTCTTATTTAGCAGTGAGTTATATAATAAAACCAAAGTTCAGGGAGGCATCTGCGTGTGCTTACCTGCGAGGCAGCGTAGAATAGAGGCCTGGGTGTGAGTCCTACCCCATTATTCTCACCTGCGCAAACTGGGAGAGGTTATTTAACCTCTCTTTGTCTCAGCTTCCTTTTCTGTATAATGGTCTTAATAATGGGACCTATATCAGTTAATATTTACAGTGCCTATTCCAAGTAATTTCTGCATAAGTGTTTTTGTTTTTTTGTTTTTTTGTTTTTTTAATGAATATTTACAGTGCCTATTCCAAGTAATTTCTGCATAAGTGTTTTTGTTT